CCATGTACTTTTAGCTATCTGTATAAAATCAATTTCCATAGTGATCAGACATGCAGAAGAGTAATTTCCTGTAAGTCCTGGGTCCCCACTAAGTGGAAATGCTTCTGCTTGTCTGTTGTGATGATTTAAGCCACATGATCTCAGAGGGGAAAAAAATCACCATTGGTTTACATTCTGAGCATCTTGATTTGAAAAAGTCAACCTTCATTTCTACCATGGTGAGATTTTCCATGTCCAGAATTGAAAATTCATTTGTGCTACCATGTCAAAAATTATGATCAAAATAGCAAAAACTACCTACATGTTACTATTTTTCTCTAAAACACAGTTCATTTCTTTCCTGAAAATAAAGCATTTTCACATGGAGTCTCATGATTTCCTTGAGAGGTAATGCCATTGATAGTACCTTGAGCATTTTCTTTTCTAGCCCCAGGTACCAAATATGTGTGTGAGTGTGTGTGTGTGTGTGTGTGTATACACATATATATGTGTGCATGTGTGTGTGTATATATATGTATACATATATATACATATATATATACACACACGCGCACACACACACACACATATATATATATACATATATACATATATACACACATACAGCAGCTGGAGTTAATTCTCTCATCTTTCTCTCATAGTTTAACATCTTATTCCACATTAACAATCTATGAACAGGCCTTGGTGCAGTTTGATGTCTGCACTGATACTGGAAGTCTGAAAACCTGGGTCTTTCTCTTTGTCCAGGCTGACTTTGACCAGAGGCTTCTTAGGTTGCAGTTTCTCCATCTGCTAAAAAGCCACACAACAATTGACACCCACTTCACAAGGATATTATGAGGAATGAAGTGATAATGGTTATAAGATGCTTTGAACCTTTGCAAAGGAAAGTGATCTGAAAACACATGTTCTCTTCATTCATGGGAGAGTGTCTTTTGCTCCTGAGAGCAGCTGAACAATGAACTCTCCTGCCCTCACACTTTTGCCCCTCCCAAGAGTCTCCCCATCTCTTCAGAACTATAATTGGAGGGCAGACAAACAGGGCAGCCGCAGCAGGGGCCAGGCCGCCTCCAGCAGGAGAGATGTGAGCAAGTAGAAGTCAGCCTTGTTTGGAACCAGTGCAGACCTTCCCCTTCTGCAGACTTTTCTGCACCATAAATCATGTTCTGATGCACTGTGCAGACAAGTTCAGCACAGAGAGAAAAGTGGGGCTTTGCCACCTAGTGACTTAGACTTGTATCTCAGCTCTTTAAGTTCCATCTCTTTGGCCTTGGATAAGTCCCTTACTTTCTTAGAACATTTATTTATTCATCTCTAAGATTTTAATATTGGTCTTGCACAGACATTGAAAATTTAAATGAGATTTTGTCTATAGTGTTTGGTATATGACAGACATTCAATAACATTAACTACTACTACTTTTATGCCTTTAATTGGCAGTGCAGAGAGGGGTTTTTGTTTGTTTTCTTTCTGGTGTCACTGTATGATAGTATTTCTGTATGTGCAAATGCTAAATACAGTAATGCAAAGTTTGCTTTAATATCTTTCAAATGAAATGCCCATCACATTTGGCCTAACCAGCTGTCCAGGTTGTAGACTGGCACAGATTGTACACAGATATATTCATGCTATGGAGAGTCAGCCTACAGAGAGCTGTGGAGTCTTTTGTCCTCACACCATCTGTCACGGCTCCAAAGTCATCCTCTACAACCATCCTGAGTATCCCACATCGATGAAGGCCTCCTTTCATGGTCACTCATTTGAACACATTTACAATCCCCTTTGGTTTCTCTGTCTCCAGCCTCTCCTTTGGTTACTTTTGCTCAAGTCCATTTGGTTCATGTCATCCAGCCCTGTTTCAGAGCCTTCTTGATGCATCCACAGCTGGGACTTCAGGGTCCTCAAGGACATCCTGCTTCCTTTTTATTGGTCATTCTCTATGCAGCCAGTTGACGATGACTGTGTTCTTTCCTGCCTCTGCCCTACATGTGTCTTCCTTCCACTTTTTTTTTTTTTTTTTTTTTGCGTAAAAGAACTGGGGTGTAGGCTAGAGATGCAAGGGATGAAAGGATTCACCCAAGTTAGATTGGGAGCTGAGCAAGCTAGTTAACTGAAATACACTGCTGAGGGGAGCAGCAGGCAAAACAGAAGAGGTCTGCTGTGCCATGTGGCTTCCTGGCTGGGGATCGAACTCAGGTCACAGTGGTGATAGTGCTGAGGCTTAACTCTTAGTCCACTAGGGAAACCCATTCTCATTCCACTGCTATTGGTCTGCTCCATCCTTTGGGATAGTCTTCCTCTGCACACAGATCAAGATACCCTTGATGCGCCTCCACTTCCTTCCAGCTGTTGCACCTAAAGCTGTCAATGGGGACCTCTTCACCTGCACAGAGCCCACATCTTTTTTCATGCCAGGCAGCCCTAGGACTGGTGTCTCATATCTCACAGCCACACCCTGGACTTTTCTATCACAACCTCCGACAGAATGTGTGCCTAGTAGACATCTACCAAATGTCTTGCATGGAAGACTTGGCCTTTTCTTCATGCTTTGGTAATGACTTGGCCCTCACTCAGTAACATTCCAGGACTCAAGTCTCCAGCCTCTCCTCATACCACTCCTAAAGAAACATCTTTAAGCTCAAAGTCCCCAAAGGAAATTTATGTCCCCATCCCATTATTCACCCGTCCTCCATGGGTAAACAACAGCTGTGCACCATCTTTTTCTAAAATCAGTCAAAAATGACTATGAAGTCACTCCTCAGACTTCTCTTCTCCAGGATCTTAAATGTTATAGATCCAACGCACTTAGCCCTTTAATCCTCACCACTGCTCATTTCTAAGTCCTTTCTAAATTCTCCATCTCCCTCTTGAAGTTGTGGAAGTTTTAAGTCTGTCCATTTTCCTATGTCACAACATAGTTAAGTTCCATCCAGATTCAGTCTCTCCCTGTGGTTTGAAGTTCTGTTGGGAACTTTTGGCTCTCGGCTCCAGACTCAAGAGTTCATCACTCTGGAAAGGAAACAAATGAATGGCACACTTAAAATCATCAATGAAGGAGGGACAGGAAAGAAAATGGGCCCTTGCCTGCAGATCAGGGCAAACAATATAGAGGCCCAGCAGAGGCCTCCAGGGCTGCTTCGCACTTCACCCACCAAATGAACCACCCTCCCAGTAGTCAGACAAGATGAGGACAGTCTACTTGCTTTCCAAACAAGATCACAGTAAATGAAAATTATGCAGTCTCTTTACCATACAGCCTCACACATTGTACTATGACATAAACCAACTTCAGGTTTCCTTAGATACTTTCTAAGGGGCCCCTTTGACCCCAGTGTCCTGCTCCTGGTAGGTGGATTATGCCAAGTAAGAGTGTTTCCTCCCCTTGCAGTCAACTGAATGAATCACGTGCAAGTAAGAACAGTGACCTTGTCTAAGGTCCTTTGGAGGTGCTTCCTCTTTTTAAGTCACCTCACTGCACCTTGTGTGTGTGCACACACACTCGTACTCACACAGCACATGAACTCATGTTTCCACACTCGCAGCTTACAGAGTGAATGAAGCTGGCTATTTACACTGAGGTTGACACTGTTCAATGACAACAAAGAAGCAGTGGAGAAGTGGTGCCTGGCCTTTGAACTTAGGGGTGTCCAGTAATTCCACTGAGTCTGCAAACCTGGAGGAACCTGGCACAAGAAGCTTAGGGTGGTAGCCTTCTTCCTCCTATTCCTCTTGCCCTGCCTGGTCCTCCCACAGATGGGCATCATCTTGAAAATGAACTCCAGCCACTTTTTTGGCTGTATTTTTTTCCATTGTGTTCGTAAGTGACTTTTGCTTTTGCTGTGGCCTGGGAAGACAAAGGCACACCAGTGATATGCTTCCCCGCTGGGGAAGAAAAGAAAAGGAGAATATCAGTCAGCCCCTCTTCCCCAGCCCCGCCCAGGCCTGCTCCTCCTGTCCCTCTCCCTTACCACTGCCCAGTCTGTAGCACAACCCCAAGGCCAGGGAAGCACTTGACTTTCAGCACCTTAATGGACGTAGTGAGCTCTGTATTTTTCCACAACTACTTCTTTGAACAATTTTAAAAAGAGAGAGGAAGGAAAGGAAACTTTTATGCATATAATGTCGTACAGAATATATAATTTTTTTTAAATTCAGAGTTTTACAACTTGGGGATATCTTACTGGCAATGTGATTATTATCTTAAAAATGAATACTTTTTATTGAGTAAATAGTGAAATCTGTTTTCATTCAATAAGATAGAAAATATCTCTGGGGATTTTTTATATCAGGAGTGTTCTGAGTGCTGGATTTAGAGAAGTGAGTAAAGTAGACATGGACCCTGACCTCAGAGAACCTCAATGCATAGAACCTCCATGCACAGAGGTCAGGAAGATACAGCCTATCTATCGATCCTAAATATACTGCATTCTTAGCACATTTCATGCCCTATTCAAATGAGTAGGGCATGAAACCAAAAGAATTTCCGTTGACTTTGGATCACAGGTAACCATCATAATATTTCGAATAAAAAACAACGAGAGCCTATTTGGAAGCAGAGGTTGTGGGAGCCGCAAGAACCCCTTGCTCCTGAGCCTCTTTGTGCTCCCATAGGACTTGTTGCTTTATAAAGTTGGAATTTCATTTGAATGCTGTGAGATGCTAGGAGTTTTGCATTTCACTTCCACTCCTCTCGGAAAGCAGTCACCACAGATGTATCCTGAACCTGCCCGTACTCCCTGAATTGACATTCGCAACCAAAAGCTCTTTTCAAGGTGCTACACCACCTGCAGAGGTAGGCCTGGGACTCTGAGGTTCGTAGTATGCATTCAGGGTCCCTGCCACACTTTAACCTGGGCTAGCACTACTCTTTCTCCAGAGAACAGGTCCTTTGGTGGAAGGTGGATGCTGTGGTGTTCCTATATAGTTAGAAAGAACCGTTCTGTGTACTAAGTGCTCTGTAACTTTTTAATCCTTTGCTTTTTGTTGTTTTATTTTTAAAGGCTTGAATTGTCTGTTGAAAACATCTTCCAAGACTGGCTTGAGAGTTCCGGAATACCACAGGTGCGCTCAAGAAAACCACTTTAGCGAGTCTGTGGGGAATAGTAAAGCTTGTCACTTAATGTATCAATTATGATAATGTTTTTACGTATACATCATATATATGTGGTACATATTGCACACATGTATGTAAGAGAATAGATAACATGGATACATGTAAATACATACAAGCAATCATCTCTCTGTGTTGAAGTATCCCTGTGCTTAAAAAATGATGCTTTCCTACCCCTTTTCTGCCAGCCATCAAGGCTGTGCTTCTGACTGCTACCTCAAGCAACCTGCTACTCACCAACCCTGAACTTTTGTCAAATGAAGTCTTGCAAAAGAGTGCATATTTTGTGTGGTGCAGCCCAGCAACAGTCCAAGTTCAATGAGTTGAGCCAGACAAGTGAGCTGGCTTCCTGCAGTTTCCTCAGACCTGTCCTTCCCCATGATTTCTCCATCATTTCCCCTCCACTTTTCCTATGATTTTTGTATCCCTGTCTCAGGCTGACGTTTGCATCTACATGAGTTTTTCAGATGCATTTTTCTGTCTTAGGACCAGGACCCATGCAACTTGAGGTTTTCTTCTCTCCCCTTTTTCAGCCCTTAGGCAAGTCTGAGGGAGAGATGAAAACCAGCCAAGCCTAGCTCTATAAGGTCACCTGGCCTGGAAACTTCTCTCCACTCCAACTTCTGTGCTTTCTGGAGCCAGTGGTAGCCCCCACCCACTCAGCAGCCTGAGTGCTGATCCCCGTAGAGCATGGAACCTGGGGAGTCCAAGGGTGGCATCCCAGATGGGGCAGGTCAAAGGATATTGCTGGCCTAAAGCTTTCCCAGTCTTGGCAGTTGGCAGGCCCTCATAGTGGGTCCTAGTGTCTGGGAGTGGACCCCCATGATGATGAGAAATTATGCCTTGGGCCCAGGCACGCAGCCCTGTTAGTCTGGTTTCATGGCTGGTTATATGAGCTTCCCTTGGGAGTGTCTGAATGTCAATGAATGTCTGTGAACCATGAAATTAAGGAACAGGAGGGGCCATTCTCCATTACCTTTTCATCCCTCTACTCACATCTTTGTCCTTTTCCACCACACAAGGGAAAATGTTAGCCACCAGGCACCATTAACTCATTCCTAAAAAGGACACCCTGCCTTTGGTTCAGGAATGCGTGTCACCCGTTAAAAGTTATTTATTTGACCCAATCCTTTTGGGGGTGAAAGAAAAAGAATAAAATCCTAAGTCCTAAAAAAACCATCAAAACAGGTGGAGTGAGGCAGCACCTGGTCCTGGGAAGCAGGGCTTTCAAGCCATGTGTATTATAATGAGTGCTTGTGATTTCTAAGACTGTGGCCTCCCAACCATGCCACTCGCTGTCCCCAGAGGGGACAAAGTTAAGGAGTTAAGATTTGTCTGATCCTAAATAGCCAAGTCTTGCCCTTCATGTTTCAAATGGGGGGAGGGGAGCATCTGCTGAAACCACCTGCCTTGTGTTCCATGGCCAGACTACAGCAAGACTCCCAGACATTCTTAGCGGAGCCTGGAAACTAGGAAGAGTTGAGAGCTCAGAGAGCAGACTCCAGAATTTCCTGGCCCAGAACAACAGGCTGCTGTATTCAGCAGTGAGCCCTGAGGGAACGGAAAAGAATGAGTCCTTAATCGAGTGCCCAGAAGCAGGCTCACCCCACTCGAGCTGTAGCACTGGGGTTGACCCTACTCATTCTCTGGAGGCTCTGTGATTTCCCCTGAAGAAGAGGAGGCCTTGCCACCAGCAGGAGGCTTTTGCTTTTCATTAAAGGGGGGAGGGGACATGTGAAGGGGAGAGCTCTGCCTCTGGGCAATACATTTTTCCAAAGGTTTTGTTGCATTAGTGACAGCTTATGGTGTAGACAAGAATCTCTGCTATAAACTGACGAAACCTGCTGTCAAAACATAGCCAGGTGCAATGAGGCCAGCAGCCCAGCTATAAATTGTCTTTAAGACCCAACTGGTATTTCCTTGGGTGCCTAACTGTTCGGTAAAAACAACAGTCTCAGACAGAAAAAAAAACCCTGATTTAGTGCACATCTTTCCATTGGTGAATGATCAAACAGCATCTTTTTATTTCTTTACACATTTTGTGCCATTATTTATATGGTTGGTGATAATTTACCTGCTCACACTCCTTGAGAGTTCCTCCTCCTTTCCACTTCAGTGAAAGACTCTGCAAAGACTCAGAACCCTCTGCTGCAGGAGCTCCGTGGTGAATGGGACACCTTGTTCTTTGTCCTCACCATTATAATATAAAGTTACTAGCATGCTTAGCCTGGATGGACAATGAGAGCACCAAAATTGCTCCATGTTCTTTGTTCTCATTAAAAATGTCTGCCCACCAGCCATTGAAGTCTTTCATAACAAAAGAATCACGTTCTACTAGTGAAGTTTTCATTCACAGGTTACAGAGGCTTTCTGTCTTCTCTCAGGAATGCTTGCCTTGTGGTTGGCCTTGATTTTCCTTTTTGGCCATATTGAATGGAAATCATTATTTTTTTAATGTAGAAATAGCTTCGGCAGCAATAAAAGTAAGAATGAGTCCCAAAAAGTAAAAGAAATCAGGCCCAGACATCTCTAAAGACTCTCAACCCTTTGACTTTGCAAATAGATTTAAAATTAATTTTATCCTCAGCATTACTGATTATTTTCTTTATAACTTATTTCTGACTACAGATTCTGACTACATATTTACTTTGAGATGTAAAAAACTTGTAAATAAGGAAATAAAAATGGCCCAGAGATAATTTTTTTAATATAAGTTCTTTCAGTCATTTTTCTGGATATATGAATAAATAGCTTACCATTTTCTTTGTCTTCCTTTAAACATTAAAAAAAAATTAAAAATTCTCTTTTGCAAGTTTAAGCAATAGCAAAATGCAAAATGTCAAACAAAGCTCTTGTCTCCTTAATCCACCAGCTTTCCTTCGGGCATCCCCTTTCTCTCCTTGGAATACTTCCCTTTTTCTGCGTTTAGGAAATATCATAACCTGCCTGATATTGTTGCTGTTTGTATTTCTCTCTTATAATCCCCTCCCCACTCCACCTGGGAAAGCCAGGGTTGTGTGTGACTCATACTAGTCTTACCTGCTCTGGTGCACACAAGATATTCAGGGACTAGGCTGATGTGGTACTAGCCACACAGTCGCTGAGCACTTGAAATATATCTAGTGTACCTGAGGAGCCGAATTTTTAATTTAATGTAATTTAAATGTATATTTAGAATCTAATAATTCAGTTATTGTTTGGAACAGCTTAGGTATGTCAATGAATCTAATTTTTCGACTGTAAATTTTATGAAATTTTAACATAGCATTATTTATTATTTCTGACTAAAATTTTGCATCTGAATTGAGATGGACTATGCAATTCCTCATATTTAGAAGACTTAGTATAAAAAAAAGTAAAATGAGATCACTAATAGCTTTAAAAATATTGGTGACATGTTGATATATTATTTTAGTACATCATAACCCAATCTATATCTACCTGATAAAACCTTACTGAAATTAATTTTAGCTGCTATGTCTCACTTTTTAAACATGGCAACTGGGATTTTAAATTAGAAATGTGTCTTGTATATATTCCTATTGAACTTTGCTGCTCTAAGCCTATTAATGCCTTAAGTGCTGAATTAATGCCTTAAGTGCTTAATGCTTTAAGATCCCCCACAAAATATATACTATTGAAATCATCCAATTTTTTTTGAAGATTTCTTTTTATTTATGCATACAAGAACTGGGTTTTAGGCTAGAGGTGCGGGGGGTGGCGAGGATGAGAAGATTCACCAGAGACAGAGTGGGGAACAGAACAAGCAGACTGACTGAAATACACTGCTGAGGGGAGCAACAGGTGAGTCAGGAGAGGTCTGCTGTGCCATGTGGGTTGCTTCCCTGGCCAGGGATCAAACTTGTGCTGTGGTGGTCTCCTGTGACTGCAGGAATGATTGTAGTCGTGGATAAGGAGTCAGAGTGCTGCTGTCATGGTAGGTACTCAGAAAGGCAGAAATACCTACTAATTACCAACCTCATTTCATCTCTTAAACTCCTAGGTGACCTGTTTCCCAAGGTACCGACAAATAGCACACTGGTAGACCTCATAGTTCTTCTGTGGCTTTGTGACTCTTTGGGGGAAGTGTTCCGTAACTTGAAGCAGCAAAAGGGATAGAGAAGATAGGTATTGGGCAATCACATAATGTGTGCTAGAAGCAGGCAGGAGTCAACTCAAGCTCACAGCCTTGTTCCTGAATCCTGAGATTTATAACAGTAGGTGATGCTTCCATTTTGGGAAAGGGCCACTTCTTTCCAAGCAAGCACCCACTGGCTGCCAAAGGCCACACAGCAAAGGATGGAAAATTTAAGTCTTGCAGGGAAAGTGCTGCAGTCACATAATGAGGAAACTTGATAAGAAATAATGCAAGACACTTTGTTAGTGGAGCAATGGTGTGCTTTTAGCACAGAGAAGGCCAAAAGTCGGGCTGTCTGTTAGGGGAGTAATTTACAGGCTTTATTTAGCTCTGATTATATAATATTATCAACATAATTTGAAGACTCATTAGGATATTTGATCTTAGTGGTGTCTATAAGAATTCTGCATTTAATGATCATTCAAGAAAACAAAGACTGATTATTTTGCAACTTCCAGAGAAATTATATTTTTCAAATTATATGTGCTATGAGATCTTTTATATCCATAATAGCAGTTACCATAGTGTGGTATACTTTGGGGGTTTCAAATAATTTTATTGTCATTTTTGACTAGTGGTTTGACTCACATTTTCTAAATGACTAAACAACTCATCAGAGACCACACTTGGGGCAGAGCCTGCAATGTTGACAAGTCACCACAGTCACTTACTATTCATTCAGGAGCTTGGCGCTTCCCACAAATTCCTCAAGGTGATAGACTCCATGGTAGTCAAAGAAAAGGGAGGGTTTTTATTAAAATCCTTTAATTTTCAATCTAATTTCTTTTATTTTTGGCAACTATGGCTTCATGC